CTCGTCGAGTTCTGTTGGGCCGTCTTGAAGCCATTTGGAGCCGTCAGGAAGCCACGCGGGATATCTTGAAAACTTCTGGTGTCTCTTTGACGTCATTTAAGGCCGTCTGGGCGGCTCTCGGGCCGCCAGGGAGGGTCCCCAGGGAGCCCAGAGCACCCATGGCGACACGATGCAGCTAGGCAAAGCCCCCCGACCCTGTACTCCGATATATACATAACTGTATATGTATAGTTATGTGTATATATGTATACACGTATATTTTTTATATATATATATATATATATATATATGCATGTATGCAATTGCATCTACATATACATATACATCTGTGTATGTATGTGTGTATGATTGTGTATACATCGATGCGTGCGTGTATGTACATGTATGTGTGTACGCAAATTTGTATATATACATATATATATATATATACACACACGTCCGGCGGCCATCCTCCGGCGATATCGCTTGCACAAAACACATGTGAATATTTTCGCCGCTGGCCTGGAACCTGGCCAAACAACGAATGTCGACAAAAACATGAACATATGAATGGGACACCAATCGGAAATTACCTCCGGGAAACTGCGGAGAACTCTGGGGGAATTCGGACACCTCTGGAGAGGGTGAGAGAAAGGAGGAGACTTACGATTCCAAATTCCAGGAGGAGGAGGGTGCAGACTCTTTAGGGGGTATCGCTTCCGCACTGGTCCCGGTGCCGGAGACGTTGTATTTTCGTCAATGAGGGGGGGGGTACTGATTGCTTCCTCGGGTGCTCCCCAGGCCTCTCCTCTGGGGCGCGGCCTGAACGGAATATCGCGGCGACCTCAGCCATTGCGACGAGGGATGGGCCGCGGCATCGGTGCCTTTTTGACTTCCCTGGAATTTGTTGCCCCTGGGGGGGCAAATCTTGGGCCTGCAGGGCCGTCAAAGAACGACGGGGGACAAGAGGAAGTTTCCAGATGGCCCGCGCTGGAAAAAACAAACGAATCTGATCTCTGGTCGGGTGTTGCCAGAGGTGCCCCAAGCCAAGGTGCCCCCCGGATTTCCAAGGAGGCCCCCACGGCCTCCAGTGGACCCCTCACGAGGCCCAGGGGGCCCCAGGGGCTCCGAAGTGGAGCGAGAAGCTGGGGGTACCTTGGGCCAGGGGCACCTGTAAGCAGGACATAAAGGTAGGGTAGGGGCAGAGGTGGGGTTAGAGGAAAGTTGCTCTGAACGGCCCAGCGCGGTTCGTTCTCTAACCGCGCCTTGGGATGATTAACCCCCCCTCCACGAACCCCCGATCCGGGGCAGGAGGAAGCGTGCGCCGATCGTGCTGGCAGGAGCCGCGAGCAGACCCTAACGTTAGGTCGGACATGTCCTCCTACAGGCGGATTCTGGACGAAAACTAAAAACATAGTTTTAAATACAAATTCGCCGGCCCAACGGGCCAGAGGCGTGCTAAGATCTCCGGTAACTGGTTAACAATTGTATTGTACTAGTTCGCGCGCGCGGGGCGGCCCCTGGGGGTCCCCCGGCGAAAAGTACCCCGCCCGCCGCCTGGGAAGGTCCCGCCCGGTTCAACTCAGAGATGGTTTTCCTTCTGGGTGCGGCCTCTCAGGCCGCCCTGAGCGCGCCAAGAGTGCCCCAAGAGGCCCCCAAGATTGCTCAAGAGGCCCCCGAGACGTTCAAAGAGCGCTCCAAGGCGCCGAAGATGACCCCAAGACGGCCCAAGAGACCCCCAAGACAGCCGAAGAGGCCTTCAAGACGCCCCAAGAGCCTTCCAAGAGGCCTCCGAAGAGGGCCCCAAGAGGCCAAAATCGTTGATTTTCATTGGTTTTTCCGATGTTTTTTGCGTTCTGGCTTTTTCGGCTTCCGGACGCTCCAAGACGACCCAAGAGGCGCCCAAGATCGCTCCAAGACGGCCCACGAAGCTCCCAAGACGGCCCCGAAACGGCCCAAGAGGGCCCCCAAGACGGCCCAAGTGCCGCCCAAGACGGACCAAGAGGCCCCAAGACGGGCCCAAGAGGGGCTCAAGAGGGATACAGAGAACTGAAAAATCGAGCCCTCCGCCCCAGAAGCCGCCCAGGAGGTCCCAAAGAGGCCCCAAGAGACCCCCAAGAGGCCCCCAAGACGCCCCAAGAGGCGCCCAAGAGGCCCAAAAGAGGCCCCAAGAGGCCCCAAAACGGGCCGGCGGAATGAGCGAAGCGATTCAATAATCAAAGAATCATCCCCAGACTACTTTCTGACTAGCTTTGAAAATTCCCCCTGCAGAGGGAAGTGCCCGACTTGACCCTAGAGGGCCCGCTCTCGCCACCGCTGGGCCTCGGCCAAGCCCGTGGCGTGCCCCCGGGGGCCGGTCAACAGAACGGCCCAGGGTGCAAACGCGGGCCACGGCCGAGGGGCCAGAAGGCCCTCTGGCGGCGCACACGGGGGGGGGAGGACGAGCAGAAAGAGCAGGAGGGAGAAGACGAGTGAAGGAGGTCGACGAGGAGGAGGAGGAGGAGGAGGAGGAGGATGAGGAGGGGGAGGAGGAGGAGGAGGAGGTAGGGGGGCCTCTGGCGGCGCGCAAAGAGGGGCAGGGGGAGGGGGAAGGCTTCTCAGAAGGAGGCTGCTTCTGAGAAGCCTGCCCGCCTCCCCCTGATTACCCCCCTCTGCGCGTGCCCAAGACCATGCTTTCAGGCGCTGCTCGATGGGGGGCAACAAACGTACAGGAGGGAAAACTGCAAAAGCATAAACATTCCGAGGTCCGCGCGGACTTCTTGGATCGGCGCCTGGGACCCCCCTCCCTGGCGCGCTCCGCGCGCCAGGGGCGGCGCCGAAGGCGCCGCCAGGGGGTCCCAGCCTGCGATCCAAGAAATCCGCGCGGACCTCCGCAAGCTGATGTTTGTACAGCTTTTTTCTCAAAACAAGCAAGGGGGCGAAGAGAGGCGCATTTAGCACCGATTCCCCCCTCCATCCAAACTTCTGGTGAGTCTCGAAGACCGCGCGCCGAAGGCGCTCCGCCCCCCGTCGCGGCGCGACGACGAGGCAAGGTTGACCCCCGTCGGGGGGGGGGGCGCCCCCCACACGCATACTAAGAAATCCAGATTAACCACAGCTCAAGACTTGGCTCAACAGCAACGAATTGTTTTTCCATGGGTCAGCTGCCGGAGGCCAGCGGCAGCTTGACCTTCCGCCACGTGTGCAACATGCAGTTTCCGCGTGTCCGGGGCAGTCGGCGGCGGAGCTTTCGCAAATCGGGGGCGTCCCAAGGAGGGGGGCGTCCAAGAGGGGGGGGCGCAAATCATGGCCGGGGGCATGTGCACGGCCCAGGGGAGGGGGGGGGGCGGAACGCATTGAAATAATAAGAATAACCATGAAATCATGGGAGATAGCATGGCGCTGGCCATGATGTCTACACCATTCTATGACAACGCATGGGAGTCTCCCGTAGCATTTTGTTGGCTCTTGCGAATCGCCGCGAATTCGACGCTTAATCGACGCTAGCCGACGCCAGATCGACGCTACATCATCGACTACTAGACGCGAATCGACGCTGATGCACTCTAAAGACGAAGTTGCGAGGGTATACAAGGCTCCCATGATTTGCTACCGAATCCACCCTCCCTTAGTCATCACCCCACTCTTGGCTGCCCCCGAGGAGAGCGTGTCGAGGGCCACCTCGGCGTTGAGTCGGGAGGTCTCGGGGGCACCGAGTGGCCGCGCGAGGCCCTCCGAGGGCTTAACAGAGACGACAGGGAGCGTCTTGGCTGAGCTCTGGGGCCGTCCATGGCCCTTAGTGGGACGCACAAAGACATGCTAGTGTATCCCCAGCTGTCTGGACCTGCCATGCGCGGAGCGCCTCGAGAATCAAGGCACGCCGATTTTTCTGGAAGAGAGCTCGCCACCAGCGACGCGTACGACAGAAGCCTGCACCTCGAGGTCAGCACACGCCAACGGCTGGTCAGGAAATGCGGACAGAAGAATATTAAGAAAAAGGGAGGGAGGGAGGGAGGGAGACTTTGAGCAAACAGCCATGGATGGACGGCAGGGAAGCGACAACTAGGGATTCAAAAACGTGTGGAACACTAAACTGTATCCCCAGCTGTCTGGACCTGCCATGCGCGGAGCGCCTCGAGAATCAAGGCACGCCGATTTTTCTGGAAGAGAGCTCGCCACCAGCGACGCGTACGACAGAAGCCTGCGCCTCGAGGTCAGCACACGCCAAAAAGGACAGTGCCAAAAACACGAAGTCGAATGGCCCCAAGGCCGTCATCATTAACTTACTGAAAGCTACATTGACAATTTTGAAGCTATGCCTGAGACTGTACGGCACACGATGGCATCATCAAAAGCGCGGGCTAACTGCTGACACAGACGAGAAGGATAGGCTTCGGCGACGGCTGTCCAGAACCGACGGTCGGGCGCACGCCCCTCCAACACTTGGTGGGGCTGTCCAGTTCGACTGCAGCAGCCTTGAGAGCGCTTACACAGCTTCACCAAGAGGGTCAAATCAATGCACGTTCCTAAAAAGCTGGTGCGCTTCCGCCAAGGAGTTCCCCATTGGCAGCAGTCTGTGCTGACGAAAGACCAACGTGTGGATTTGACAAGCGAAGCGACGGGCGGCGCGAGCCACAGTCGAGAGGTAGACGGGTTCTCCATTGAACACGGCACCTGCATGCGGCGGGCCACCGTTAGAACAGAAACACTGAAGCGCATCATCTGATTTCCAAAGTCTACTGCGGCCTGCGCCGACGGTATCAAATCGGGCAGGCCTAACACACATTTGTCGGAGCGGAGGCGGGGAGGACCAGGCTGGATATCTCTGGCGCGCGACCAGCTGCCGCACGGCGTTCCAAGATGCACACCTAAGATGAGGCCGGCTTGAATCCAGCCCCGAATCAGACGTTGTCGCGAAACGTCCCGCAAATCAAACAAAGGGCCGTGCTTGATATCCCACGCGAGCACATGATACCCCTTCCGCGCCATCGCTCGCGCGAGGCGTCCAGAGCCTGAGAAGATTTCTAGAAAAACTCTCACAGCTAGCGGGCCAGGAACGGCGGGGCAGCGAGCCCCCCTAAGAGAACCTCGGGGAGCACGCTGTGGCAGCGGAGCGCGTGCTTCTGCAGGGCTGGGGGCAGTTTCGCAAACTGCTCGCTCAGCCTTCCCCCCTTCTCGTACCTCCGCACGGAGGCGTCTGTCTTCCAGCGACCCCGCCGTTTCACTTCGCTCAACGGCCTGAGTCCGTTGACGAAGTCTCGGCTGGCGCCGGCGTGCCTGAGAAGGTAAGGCATTGGCACGGGCTCCAGGCCGAGACGGCGGGCCGCGCGTCTGAAAATCTCGGCGAATTCCTCTACTGAGAAGCTGAACAGCGCGGCGTCCGGCGGCTTCGCAGCGGTCAGTCTCCGCAGCACGCCGCCCAGCCACAGGTCGCAGGTGAGGTCCAGCACGAGACTCTCGTCGAACTCCGCCGTCTTGCTGGGCCGCGCCTCCTCGCCGTCGTGCGGATGCAGCACTAGGGCCCACTGCCGCAGGGCCTGGCTTCCCGAAGCGCGGGGCGCGATCGCGTGCTTGACTTGCACGCGGCCCCGTTCTCCCGGTCGCATGTAGAACACCATCGACAGGACCACGCACGCCGCCGCCTCCCACAGGCCCATGCTCACCAGCTCGCAAGCCAGGGCGGCAACGACCTCCTCGGGGAGCGGCAGCCTGGTCAACGGCGGCGTCAGCACCTTCCAGCCTCGGAGCGACTGCCTGGCCCCGGGCAAGCGAGCTCCGCCGTCGCGGCCGAGACGCGGGTCGCTCCACTGAAGGGCGGCCAGCATCTGCACTCCGCGCCAGTGGTCGACGCCCTCCAGGTACTGCCCCAGCATCCACTCCGCAAGGCTGCAGTCCAGCGTGGCAGCGGCCTCGGGCGCCAGCGGGATCATCCTCCGCTCGTCGAGGGAGAACGTTGGCCGCGCAGGCAGCCCCTGCTCCGCCAGCCATGCGTCGAACTCGGCTGCCAGCTGCTGGCACCTCGACCTCGCTGTCTGTGTCCGCACCGTGCTCAGCCGCAGCACGTCCAGCGTCCCCGCGTCGGCCAGCTTGGCCCCGCGCCGGGCCAGCTTCCTCCGCTTCACCTTGTCGGCCGCAGGCGGAGCCCGCGCCTCGGAGAGCGGTGGCGAGCCAGCCAGGTCGTCGCAGAGAAGCCTCCGAAGCGAGGGCGCTGACGTCGCCCGGCTTGGCGGCACCGGGCGGGTCCTCGGGACCGAGCGGGCCTCTCCCTCCGGGGCCGTCGCCTGGCGACGCTCCAGCCTGGCCGACTCCACCGCGAGCGTATCCAGCGTGCCGCAGCCCTCGCGAAGGACCGTCGGCGAAGTTCCACTCGCTAGGCAGCCAGCGGGCACTGAGCCGGAGTCCCGTCGCCGCAACATGAGCTGCCACAGAGCGCAGGGCGCCGCTGACGCCGGGGGCCGAGGATCGGCCCTTGCCCAGAGCCAAGACAGACGAGAGCGAGTCGGAGAGCAGGAGGTGGTGGCTCTCAAAGGCCTTCGTGGATCTGCAGATGTGCTTAACCCCGAACGCGATGGCCCTGGCCTCCCCCTCCACGATGTTGTCAGGCGGGGATCCCCACTTGTGCGACCCTACGACAGCCCAACCTTCCTCTCGAACCGCTTCGGGAAGACGTCCAGCGGCCCGCGTGCGGGCCTCCTTGCTAGCCTCCTCATCCCCCACGAACTTCTGGAAGTCCTTGGAGCTCTCTAGGGGCTTCGTGATGATCTCGTCCTCACTGGAGCCTGCAGCCCAGGCCCGGGAGAGCACCTTGTTGTCGCCCAAGAAACGCCATCGTTCTGAGAAACAGTCCATCGAGCCCACGAGGTCCTTGTCGAGGTCTTTGCAGACCAGTCCGAAGCCCCAAAAGGACGCGTCGGTGCACATCACCTTGGAACTCCATGACACCTGCAGCTCCCTGGAAATCAGACACAGCAAACTCGAGAACGTACTGAGCTCCCATCGGACGGACTCCCACAGAGGGACCGCGGCACAGTGGCCCAGCCGCCGAATGAAAGTATAGACGGACCTGAAGATCGACAAATGCTCACGACAAAGAAGTGCCACAAAAGTACAATGGCCTAACACCCTCTCAACTTCTTTGGGACTCACGACGGCCTTGCTTGTCAAACAATCGAGCGCCAGGCGAAGTCTCCACAGCCTTGACCTCTTAGGTCGAATCTCTCTCTCTCTCGCCCTCGAACCTCCCACCCCAGGATGTCGGCATCGTGATCACACATGCATACTTCATGGGTGGGTAAACCCCTGGACGTCAAGGCGGCGTTGACAAGCTTTACTGCGCGCGAGACGGCCTCGGGATCCGTACCCAAGGCAAGAAAATTATCCACATAGATAGTCATCGCCAGCGGCTGCACAGGCGGCACTACACTCTTGTCCGAGATGAACGGAACGTCGTGCAGCGCGGGGATGGAGCTCACGACCCCGCGGTGAATGGTCTGGCACCAGTACAGCGCATGCGACCAGCCCATGGGTAACACCGCAAGGACTGGCCACACACGACTGCCAGGCGCGAGAGACCTTCCGCCCAGGACAGTCAGCCCCACATCACCTGCCTTCACCGCCGGCAGCGCGAAGTACTCACGGAAAGCCTCAGGCAGCCCGAAGTGGTAGAAGGCGTCGCAGATGTCCACGTGACCGACGTATAGCTGCTCGCCCTCCGGCACGGCCAGCTCTCCCAGTGCTGAGCCTGTCGCCAGCGCGACTGTCGAAGGCCTCCTGAACCAGCAGTTGGCCCGCCGGCAGTCTATCACCATGCGCTGCTTGCCAGACTTCTTACGCACAAAGAAGAGGCCGCACTTCTCTCGCGGCGCGGCTGAGAAGGTCACCATTCCCGCCGTATGCAAACGCCGCACCAGCCCAGCATAAGCACGTGGCTGAGCTCGTAGAATAGCATCCATGTACGGCTGCCGCGGAGCCTCGGAGAGGTTGGACTCCGCATCCTTGCGTGGAAGGAGCTGCTCGTGTATTGCTGCTTCGACATCAATATCGCCCACGCCTGCCACCAGCTCCCCGAGCGGCACAGGAACGTTGCCGGCCTCAGGCAGCGAGACGAGGGAGTCGTCGAAGCTAACGACTGGCGAGTCGATGTCCTCGTACACGCCAGCACCGCGGAGCTCACGCAGGGCTCCGGCGGGAGTGAGGCCAGGTGGCGGGGGACCCAGCGCAGCAGCAGCATGACGAACACGCTCATGTACCAGGCGATGGGGCAGCCGCTCCGCCAGGCCCGGAGCGCCAGGCGCCCCGAGCCGACCAGCCAGATCATTGAGGGCCCCGAGGGCGCGGTTGGCTTCAGCCACATGAGCGTCTCGCCGAAGCAGCCGCCGCCGTACCGAGCGGTTCACCGCGCCCTCCGCGGGAGCCAGGCCGTCCCGAAGCAACGGGGCAGGAAAAAGATCTCGACGGTCTGGAACTCCGTCAAATTGAATTCGCCCAGGTACGCATGCAGGAGAGCCCTGGGGCTCGGCGGCCTTGGAGCTCGAGAAGGAGGCGGCCGCGCTCAGGCCCCCTTCCCGCGACGCCGTCATGACTTCCCTCCGCCGCCATCCCCCTTGGAACCCTTGCGGCGGAGCTCTCGTTCTTCTCTAGCCTTCCTGATGTTCTTCATGATCGCGGCATCCTTCTCGACCTGGCCCTTCACAAACTCGAGGAGCGCGGGGGCCACCATCAGCAGGTCCCCCGCCTTGCTGAAGCCGCTGAAGGCCGAGAACTCCTCAGGACTCATCTTGTCCTTGGAGCTGGCTGAGTCGGCCTCCCGCAACCGATCGTGGTAGCTCCACTCGATAGTCTGCGCCCGCCGAAAGATGGCCTCGGCGAAGGCACAGTTGCTGAGGTCCAGCTGGTCGTAGGTGCCAGCCAGCTCGATGTACTTCATGAGCTGCTCGTGCTCCTGCACCCCCCACTGCTCCGACTGGAGCCGCGCGGTCGTCTTGAACATCAGGTGGTGATCCGTGGGGGTGCGCCGACGCCGCAAGAAGTCCAGGCACCACCAAGCAGAGCGAGGCCCCGCCACTGGGAAGTCGCCGAACGGCTCCTCCTCACAGGCGTCCACGACCTCACGCCACTCTCGGCCTCGGCCCCGCGGCCCATTCTTCACCGCCAAGGTTCGAGCGTCTCCTCCTCCTCCGCTCTCGGCGCCAGCTCTCAATGGTTGCCCTTCGCCACCCCGTAGGCTCATCACGAAGGAGTCCTGGTCGAGGCCTGTCAGGTGCACCACCACGGCCCGCCCAGGAGCCGCCAGGAACAACCCCTTGCCACAGAGCGAGTGAGCAGGAGGCCCCAACTCGTCGCCCAGCGCGATGCGGCAGCGCTCGTCAGCCTCGGCTGCTCGCCAAACGCGGCCGCTCGAGCGTGGCGTGCTAGTGCCCTCAACCGCGGCCCCCGGGGCGCCGGTGTCGCCAACGCCCTCCGCGGCCGCCGCTGCCGGTCCAGAGGGGCCTCCGTGGTCTCCTCCGAGGTCCAAACCCACAAGCGGCCTCTTGCCTGTCATCCGTCGACCGCCGAAGAAGTTGGCCCCGAGGGCCTCCTGCACTGCCACATCCCTGCCTGCGGCCGATCGCACCGCCACCGGCGTCTCCAGGAGCACCCCGCGCGCCTCGGCGTCGGCCTGGGCGGCCGAGTAGGCCCGGCGGTAGAGGCCCTTCATAACCTCCTCCGTCGGGACCCCCTCGAAGCGATACGCCCGTCCAAGCCCACTGGGCAGCCGCAGGTCGCGCGGCATCTCCAGCCACTCCACGGGACTGTCGTCGGGCGAGCCTCCCTCAAGCTCCTCGATGTACATATCGTGATCGGGAGTGTACACCACCCAGCACACTCCTGGGAGCCCCGCGCCTGAGGCCTCACTGGCCGCTGGGTACAGCAGGATCCGCTCGTGCCAGAGGTCGTCCCCGCCGTAGCGCACCACTGCTCTGCACCCCGGGAGAAGCCGACACGACGATCCCCTGGGCACCAGCGCCATCGCGAGGCTCAAGGCGGACCGAAGCGGCGAGGCTGAGGCGTCCAAGACCGAACCCCGCAAGCAGCGCAAGTAGCACCAGTGCTATCGTGGCTCCCCAACCGACACAGCCCTCCACCGCCTCCCGCAGCGACCCGGCGAGAGCGTCGGCGAGCGCGTCGCACACCGGGCCGCCCGCGGCCGCCAGCCAGGGAGGGCTGCCTCCTCCGCCGCCGCCGCCCGCAGGGGCGCCGCCGCCTCCGCCTCCCTCCCCACACGTGCAGAAGCACGCGGGGCAAGGCGGATATGGCGGGCAGGGCGGCGCCGCCGGGCAACTGGGCAGCAACGCCCAGGACGCCCCCGCGTGGAACCCCGCGCGGGCAAGCTCACGGATCCCCGAGGCGCTGGCCTCGACGAGGGGCCGCAGGGCTTCCTTCATGCCCTGGAAAAAGACTTTGAGCAAACAGCCATGGATGGACGGCAGGGAAGCGACAACTAGGGATTCAAAAACGTGTGGAACACTAAACTATAAGTACGTTCTCCTTGGAGGCGCGCGTCCGACCCAACCATGGAGTACACCCGTCTTGTAGTATATCGTTTGCCGAGCGGAGCTGTCAGAAAGCGCGCGCCACGACGCATGAACCATAAGATTTCTCGGCGCGCGCGTCGCCCCCGGGGGGGGGGGGCGACGCACGCGTATTGCAGTGCAGTCGGGGTGGATTGAAGATGACACGCGAGAGGACACAAGACTCTTCCGAGGACCACATCGCCATATGAATGTAGAAGGCACGGGTCTCGAGGCACAGAACACAAGGGTACCCTTGATTTGGCAGGGTCGACCTTCTAATCAGCCTCGACTGTTTTAGTATCAGCTTGTTGGGGCGACGCCGACTCGGGACTCCTCCAGCCGGAAGCGCTTTTCGGGCTCCTAGGCCAAACAAGATCGTTCTGCCCACAGGCCCTCCTAGCACGCGCTGGTTAGTGCATGGCAAGAGAGGGCGAGCAAGAGAGAGAGAGAGAGACGAGCCTAACCTCTGCACTCCCGTCTACTAAATATGCTCGAACGTCGTTCATAACAATGACGTCGGTCTGGCCCCAGCAACGAGCAAGGCGTGAACAGGGAGGAAGCGAGTGAGGAAAGAGCCGTTGCTGGGATGTCTGGGACACTCTTGAGTCCTTCGTTTTGTCCAGGAGGGAGATGCGAGGAAGGAGGAGGGAACCTGTAGCCATGAGTGAGGGAGAGGGACCAGAATAGGGAGGTGAGAGCAGCGAGGAGCGATGAGAGCACGGAGCGAGGAGAGAAGGGCGAGGCGCAAAGGGCTGGCTCGGAAGAGCAGCTTGAGTCTATAAGGGAGCCGTCAAAGGGACTCCGTGGGCTACGGCCTACGAAAGCGGAACCGCGTGCACAGGCGAAGATCACTTGCCTGCCGGTCTTCTCGCCTGCTGTCCTGCTCGCCGTGTCGCCAGCCTGGTGCATTGCAAGTGCTGCTTGCTTGCTGCTGTAGGGGTGCTGCCGCTGCCTGCTGCATGCTACTGCTGCTCCTGCTTGCTGCTGCTGTGTGCTGCCGCTGCTGCTGATAGCTTCGTGCGGCGTGCTGCCGCTGCCGCTGCTGCTGCTGCTGCTTTTGCTTTTGCTGCTGCTTGCGCCGTGCGAGGCCGTCTGCAGGCCGCCTGGGAGGCCATCGGGGAGGCTGGCCAGACCCATCTTGGGCCATCTCAGGGCGTCGTGGGCCCTCTTTTGGGCCACAGGGGCCCTCTCGGAGAGGCCTCGGGCCCGTTGCGAATCGATCTGAAGCCGACAAATGGAGAGCAGTGAAACCATATGAAGATACTGAGGTTCAGATGCTTGCCTGTCGAGCCCCTGGCAAAGCACCGTAGAGCGTGCTGGGGCCACCACTGCGTCATGTTGGAGAGTCTTGGGGGCTCTGAGGGGCCGCGGGGTTCCGCACATACTTTTGCTGGGCGTCGCTGAATGGGGGGGAGCGATAAATTGGAGGTGGGTGGGAAAACGTTCACCTTTTGGGCCCCAGGGGGGCCTCTTTAGGGCGCAAAAGGTGCACCTTTTTCCCCCCCCCATTGATCGATCCCGCACTACTCGACGCCCGATTTGGGGGACGTCTGGGAGGTCCGTGGCCGTCTGGAGCCCTCGGGACTGCTCCATGTGTAGTGTCGGGGGCGCTCTCACCGGCCCTGAGGACGGCGTAGAATACCAGTCCCCAGGCCTTGCTGGCGCGCGCGGGCTCCTGCACTTCAAGAGGTGACGTTTGGCTCCAGCTTCGACTCCCACAGTTCAACGAATAGCAACAATGCAAGTTGCCACTGCCCGCCCTTTCTGCATGCGCTGGTAATCGCAACGTACGGGGCGGACGGAAGTTTCGCACCTAATCGAATTCTTTTGCGGAGCAACTGCAATGCTGCGCTCCATTGTTTTGCCCGACCGCACTTCTTGATGGCCACTTCGAAGGAAACAATGCCTTCAGGAGAGCCCTGCCGGACGTCCCATTGTGGTCGCAACCTGTGCCTGATAACTGAAACTTACACCATTATACCACTACACCATTCTGTAGAAGGGTGCGCCGCTGCACCATTACACCATTACACCGTTCTCCGACTGGTGCACGCGTACACCCTTACACACTTACACCATTACACCACTACACCATTACACTATTTTGAAACAGGCGTCATACTTACATCATTACACCACTACACCATTCCAGGGAATAGGGTCAGACTCACACCATTACGCCATTACGCCATACACTTGTCGTGGTCGTCGCCGATTGCCTTCGTTGTCGTCGACGACGCGACCAATGCGTTCCCGATTCCTCTCCTCCCTTTTCAAAGGCTCCCCTTGGAACCCCCCTTCGGCCGCCTCCATCCTTTGTCGGGGGTCCTCAAATGCGTTTCCCAAAGCCCTCTTGGATGCCCTCTTCGGCCGTTTCCGGGCCCTCTCGGTAATCGGTGCAGCGGTGCAGGGGTGTAGTGGTGCAGCGATGGTGTGGCGTAGCAGCGCAAGGGTGTAATGGTGCAATGGTGCAGTGGTAGCCAAACGCGTTCCCGACCCCCCCCCTAAGGGTCCCCTGAGGGTCCTTTGGGGCGGGGGGGAGGTCCAGAGGGCCTGTTGGAGCCCCCTGCGGCCGCCCCCAGGCTTCCCAGGGGTCGCCAAATGCGTTTCCGACCCCCCCCCCCTCAGGATGCCTAAGGGGGGGTTTTCCAAAGGGCCCTCTTGGAGCCCTCTTCGGCTTCCTCCAGGACTTCTCGCTCGTCGTCTGCTGTCGTCCCCCCTCCCTCGTCCCTCCCTCCTCTCCCTCGTCGTCGTCGTTGCCGCCGCTGCTGCCGCCGCCGTCGCCAGTGGGGCAGGGGGGTGCCAGCTGCACTCTTCGCACAGATCCTGGACAGGCCCGTCCTCGGCCCAAAATCCTCCACCACCCCCTCCCACCTCCTCTTCCGTCTCCCTGTACACCATTACTCAATACCAATACGCGTACTACTCTCCCCTGTCCCCTGACTCTGTCCAGAAAATCTCCGGCCCTCTCCGCGTACTTTTGATTACATCCAAGAATTCTGCGTTATTTCATTTCTCTTGTGTTCGGCCGTCTCCGGGGTTTCACGGAATTCCCCACATGCGTTTCCCCCCCCACCCCAAGGAACCTCAGGGGAGAATCCGAAGGGTCATCTTGGCTCGTGGGGCCCTGATCGGCCGTCTCCAACTGGCGTGGGAGTCGCCAAATGCGATTCCACAAGACACCCCCTTAAGGATCCTTAGGAGGGAGGTCCAAAGTGCCCGCTTGGGGCCCTGTCGTCTCCAGGCTTTCAAGGGAATCGCCGAATGCGTTCTCACCCCCCCCTAAGGATCCTTAGGGGGAGATTTTCCACAGGACTCTCTTGGAGCCTTGTTCGGCCGTCTCCGAGCTTTCAAGGGAAGCGCCACATTCATATCCACAAGCCCCCCTAAGAATCCTTAGGGGAAGGTTTCCCAAAATCTCTCTTGGAGCACTGCTCGGCCGTCTCCGAGATTTCAAAGGAATCGCCAAAATCTTTCCCCCCCCTAACAATCCTTAGGGGGGGGGGGTTCCATGGAGCCCTCTGGGAGCCCTGTTCGATCGTCTCCCAATTGTCATGAGAGTTGCCAAGGGCGTTTCCGCTCCCTTTCCCCTAGAAATCCTTGCGGACACGTATCGAACACCACATCTTCGCAATGGAATATCACCCATCGTTGAGCTAAGTTTCGTGGTGGTATAATGGTATGGCGTAATGGTGTAATGGTGTAAACCTTACACCATTCCACATAATGGTGTAATGGTGTAATGGTGTAAAGCGCACGCCCTCTCTCAGACAAGTGTAATGGTGTAATGGTGTAAACCGTACACCATGTTAAGAATGGTGTAATGGTGTAATGGTGCAGCGCTTACACCTCTCATCATAATGATGTAATGGTGTAATGGTGTAACGGCGCGCCCTTTCTACATAATGGTGTAATGGTGTAAGAGTGCATGCTTAACACCATTCCAGAGAATCGTGTAACGGTGTAAAGGTGTAAGTTTCAGTTATCAGACCCAGTTCGCGACCATGCTGGGACGTCTAGCATACATGTTGGAACGCGGATGGTCTGAGCCATCATGCACACTTCTGCTCCCTCCCCCATTCGCTCCTACGTGTTACCAATCATCCCTGAACCTCTCTTCCTTATGAATAGCTCCTCCCTGCCGCACCACCAGACATGTTCGTGGGCTGGGCTAGGCGTTTCGCTCAAGAGACTCCCGTGCAACTCACGATCCTGAAGCTAAAAACCAAACGAGCGCAAAGATGGAGGGCCAGTGGGCTCCAAAGTGCGGCTCTCGCCTTAGCGCTGCGCACACTCGCCGGAAAATCTCCGAGAACGGGAGAGAGGGAAATTCGTTACGCCTTGGCAAGGTGGGGGTGATGTCAACCTCTGACTCCTGAATTTCCCCCTCACCCTTCCCGTCTCCCCCTTCCCCCCCCTCCTTGGAGGCATCCCAGATAGGGTCGGAGTAGATGGGGTCGGAGGATCGCGCCGCATCGCCGATACGTCGCCGATGCATCGGCCATGCACCAGCGACGTCGGCGGCGCACTTGGCGCCGTCGGCGTGGAGAGAACCGGGCTCCACATCGAGCCGCATCACCGATGCACCGGCGCTGCGGCGTGAACCTCCGACCCCACCTGCCACCTGCTCGGACCGCATCTGGGATGCCTAGACCCAGCAGTGGAGGCCGGTCCACAAGAAACCTTCCACAAGAAAGCCAACCCTGAGACCCCAGGACGTCCATTGATTTTTGGCGTGAGCACGTCGCGCTCTCCACCGCAAAACCATCGAAACCCACAAAACCCAGGGCACCCTGAAGGCACGCAGGGTGCTTCCTGGCACGGGCCTCCACTGCAGACGGGCCTCCCGCCTGCCTCCCCCCCGCGGCGGCCGCCTCCTCGAGCCTGCGGGCGAGGTCCTCTGCGACCTGCCGCTCGGCCTCGAGGTCGGCCTGTGCCTGCCGGGCGGGGGCGCGGAGGAGTCCTCCCCACCTCGCCTCCCTGCCTCGCCTCCCTGTCTCGCCTCCCTGCCTCGCCCTCCCCGTCGCCCTGGCTCGCCCCCCCCCCCCTGCCGTCCCCCCCTCTCCCCTGTCGCCCTCCCTCGCCTCCCGGCCTCCCTCCCGCCCCAGGCCCGAGCTGGATCGAATCGGGGCATCGGATCGGATCGGAGACAGATCGGATCCCTAGCGAATCGTCCCAAATGGAGTCAAATCGAGATTGGATCGCCTGCCTGGCTCGAGATGGCCCTGGCCGACGCTGGTGAACCGAACCGAATCGAGCCTGAATCGAGGCCCCAGCCAGCGAACCGAATACTATCGAATCGGATCGCAGGCGGCCCAGCCTCCCTCCCCCTCTCCTGACGTTTTGTCCTCAACCTCCCTCTCCTCTGCCTCCTCTCGCAAGCTTGGGTTTGGGATCGTGCCGCGTCGCAATCGGCAACACCTCAGGCTGAGCCCGAGGGTCGGTTGCCGGCTGGCGACGCCGCTGCTCCTCAGACGCCCACGAAGCGAGTGTCAAATAAGGCCCTCCTTCCCTCTCTCCATGGCCGCGTTGGCTCAAGCCGTCGCCTAAAAACACAGAAAACAGGGTGGGGGTTCATGTGCGGCACGCTAGATGGGGGCGCTGGGCAGCTTGAGATGGCGCGGGTGGCTCAGGTGGCTGGAGGAGCTGCGTGGGAACGTCGCGCTGCGCTCGCGAGCCGGTGTCGATGGGCAGCGTCGCCAAGGCCACCGCGGTGGGGTAAGAGCGGCCCAGCACGGGCCGAGACTGGGCGGGGACGCCAGGCGCTGCAGAATGCCGCCCAAGTGGAGGTCGCGGGATAATTTTCGGGGGAAACCGAGCGATACCGATACCGCTACTCCCCGGACCTCTCCCGGGGTACATTCTGACCAGAATTTCGAGGCGAATCCAGCGGTGGCGACGATGGGTACAGCGGTATGGGCACCTGTTCCTCCTCTGACTTTCGGCGCCGCGCGAGTGGCCACCTGGCCGCAGAACACGGCAGGGCACTCTCGCAGCAGTGTGGAGCTGCCGCCTCCTCTAGCTGTGCCGAGCCCGCGCTGCCGCAGCCTCTAAGACGAAGCCAGGGCGGTGATAAATTCGGGTGAAGATAAATCGGGAATCTCTAAGATCCCGCGGCTCTGGAGGATGTCTCGGGCGCCGCGGCCTTCTCAGAGCGTTCTGGAACGCTCTGAGAGCGTTCCAGAACGCTCTGTAACGGATCTATCCTCGTCCTTGCCCTGCCCGAGCTCCCCTCGGCGGGGTTCCCCCCACCAGGCCCGAGCTGAATCGGATCGCAAAATCAGATCGGATCGGGAATCGAATCGTCGTCGTCGTCGTCATCGCCGTCGTCGTCGTCCTCCATCTCTCTCGGATCATCGAATCGGGGCCACATCGCCGCGCCCGGCTCCAGCTGGCCCTGGCCGATGCTGGTGAGTCAAGCCGAGTCCGAGCAGAATCCTGGCCCCCGCCAGCGAAGCGAATCGCATCGGACCGGATCGTGGGCGGCCCTGCCCACCCCCCGCGGTGGACGATGCCGAAGGTGAGTCGTCTGCCGACGCAAGAGGTGGAGTGCGGGCGAGGGCAGCCGTCAGCCCTCGGGGTGGGCGCGGCAGGACCACATCCTGAGGATGCGCGGTAAGATGCAGGGCCCTGACGTCCAAACTGGAGCCGGAGGGGGAAGCCCAAGGCCCACTGGTAGGGGCTACCTGGCATGGGCCGAGAGGAGAGGATGCAAGAGTACCCTTGGGCAACTATCATCAATGATTCACCCTTCTGTTGTGCCTTGAATGTCGTCGGCCTCACGCCGCATGAGGCGAATCAGCGGTAGGCCAGGGAGGCTCGCGACGGCATGGGCGTCTCCCGCAAGGGCCCGAGCGGTGACCCGAAGGGCGACGTCGCCGAAGGAGGCACGTATTTCCAAGGCCTCGGGGGCGCGCAGGTCGAGGTGGTCGCGGACCCCGAGCTCGACGCGCAGCACGGCGAGGTGGACCTCGGACAGGCCGTCGAGCCCGCCCTCGACGTGCTGCACGAAACGTCCCGCTCGTGTCGCCCGACGTGCCTGTCGTATCGCCGAGCGGGGGTGTCTGGCCCGGAGCCAAGGTGTTCGCTGGCCTCCCGAAGGTGCGCCCGCGATAGTCGGAAGCCTGCAGCCAAGGTTGGGTGCGTACAGGCGGACCTAGGCCAGAAAAACATCCTTCATGAACATGGGACCCTCCGTCGGCCAGAACAAACAGAACATCCAAGGATACCCTCCCCAAGATGCACAAGAACGTCCAACAAACACGAAGAACACTAACTACCACCCCCTGGATTAAAAAGTGGTGATCGGCACTACGGCAGGGAACAAACCCTGGGTCTTCGCCAATCGAGAAAAAATCAAGTTTCGACCTTCGATCGATCCCAAATAACTCCCAGACAAAGTCGTGAGCCGAACGGCGGAATAGCGACGCAGGGGTGGACAAGACGCGCGGTTGTTAGGACAGCCCAAACGAAATCGCCACTCTTTGGCGGTGTGAAAAGTGGTCGGAAAACACCCTGCGAGAAACTATCAGGCGATATCGCCGCTCTCAAGCGGCATGAAGATGGATATGATTTTTTTGTCTGCGGAAGTCCCACGCAAAATCGCAACTTTCAGGTGCCGCGGCAAATTTTCAGATCGCCCTGGAAGGCGATCTGATTTTTTCCCGGAAGTCTCAGGCGGAATCACATTTTCAGACGCTGACCCCATTTGGCCGTTATGACATTAAAAGGGGTGAGGGATGCATCTGGAAATCCCGACTCGGCCCCGAGTCCAACATTGTCCTGGGGCCCCGTGGCCTAACGGGAGACCTTCCGTGTCTTCCTCGATCCCTACGGTCTCCACTTTTTAATCCAGCGGGTTGTAGGGTACCCTCCCCGAACCGGCCTCGAACATAAACCTCGGTCCGACCGTACCAGGCCGATCTTTGTGCTGAGCCCCGAGGTCGGAGCGAGGCACCCCAGGCCTCTCCGCTTCGCTCAGGGCCAGCGTTCTCGGCGGTGCCCCCGACCCCAGCGGCTGGCTGCGCGGACGCTGCAGCGAGTGTGCTGGGGCTCCCGGCGGTGCGGGACAGTGTAGGGGAGAGGAGATCAGCGGGATCGGGGTGTCGTAGAGGCATCACCCGATGAGTACAGGCAGGTGTGATTTGGCCCGCCCAGTACCCTGCACGGGTCATTCGGGGCATACCTGGGCGATGCTCCTTCGCGACCTCGTTGATTCGCGTAACAGTCTGGAACCGCTGGACCAGATCGAATGGCCGATTTGTATCACGTATGCGTTGTACATCGACGACAACGCTGTGCATGCCATTGGATCTGAATCCGATATTGTTGCGGGTCTATCTTCCGCCAGCTCCCAGCTGGTGGCCGCCATCTCCGACGGCATCGGCGCCACCTTGGCGGAGGACAAAGGGGCCTTAATCTGTTCCCACAGGAGTGTAGGTTTGAAAGCTGCTTTGGGGGAGGCGCTTTCTGGGCCTTTAGTTTCTTCGGCCCCCAACCTCGGGGTGGACGATACGGTGGGGCGCCCTATTAGGCATAAAGGCTTGAATGTTAAAGCCAAAGCCCTACAGGTTAAGGCTGGCCGGCGTAGCAAGCGTGTTGCTAGACTCGCCCGCACGGTTGAACGCAAGGCTCGAAATGTCTGGTGCTCTGGGGTCTTGCCTGCCTCGACTTACGGCGCGGAGATCCAAGGGATTTCGGATTCGGAGTTCCTGGCCTTACGGAGGTCCTTTGCAAGTACGCTCAAGCCGAATGCGGGTGATCGTTCGCTCTCGATTCTGCTGCTGCTTGAAAAAGACCCCACGTGGGCTGTTCAAGTTGCCCCTATTTGCGGATGGCACAAAGAGTTGTGGCACACCCATCTCGTCTCTCACCCCTCCCTCCTCAGTTTTGCCGAGATGAGAGACGCGTGGGGGGCCGTTTTTTCCTGTGAGTCAAAAACTTGGAGGAGTGTTTCAGGACCTATTTCAGCTATGAGGAAAAAGTCTGGAGCGCATCAGCTGGCAGATGAACAACTTCGCCACGCTGATCGACGATCGCGGGGTCGAGTTGCCGCTGCTCTGCCTGTCTCCTGCCCTCGTCCGCCGGTTGTTGATGGAGGCAGTTTTTAGACAGTTGGAGTGGGCTATTGGTGGCAGGCTCGGTCTACCAGCTCGTGCATGTTTTGATGTTGTTCACGAAGCCCTGGCTAGTAAACGATACTCGCCGCTAGAGCGAGGTACCATTCGAGCCTGGAGTTGTGGCGCGGTGTGGACCCGAGTCTACGCTCGTTCGAAGGGGTATGATTTTCCAGAAGTTTGCGAGCTCTGTGGAGCGGCTCGTGATACGATGTTTCATCGTCTTTGGGTTTGCCCGTATCTGGATCGTCAGCGCCGGGAAGCGGTGGGGGACGAGGTGGTCGACGGCATGGTCGACTTCGCGTCGAAGGGCAAGCATCGACTGGTCCTCGCTACTCGCGGCGGCATGGCCCACCCAGGAGATGACAACCCACCCCAGCTCGAAGAAGGCTCCTGGGATGTTGTCTGGAGCCAGGATCCTCCTTCGGACAACCTGTTCCAAATGCAAGGCACAATCTTCATCGATGGATCTTGCTCTCGCCATGTTGCAAAAGGAATTAAACCGTGCGTCTTGGTGCGCGGCGCTTTTCTCGGAGGAAGACGAGCTCCTTTGCACAATGAGGTGCCCTGTTTGGGCTCCCCTGCCCCAGACCCCTCAGGCCGGCGAGTTTTCGGGTTATTGGGGTGCTACCATGCGTCTTGCTGGCCCGAGCACTCTCTACACCGATTGCGCCAACGTCAAGCTACAACATGAATTGCCCAGGGATGCCCAAGTATTTTTCAAGAGAATGTATGCTGGTGTTTGTCTGCAGCTTTTAGGCCGTCCTGAGCGCCATCATGTTCGCGAGGTGGTCAAGGTCAAGGCCCATTTGTCTCTGAATGATGAAGGTCTCTCTCGTGATGAGATGGCCCGCAGGCTCGGAAACCACACGGCCGACCTCGGGGCCAAAGAGGCCCTCTTTTTCCATCCCAGAGACGAGGCGGTGTTGGAAGAAGCTGACCTTTGCGTTAAATTCGCTCGAGCCGCTTGTAAACTGGCTGCCAAGCTGCTGCCCGAATTTTCCGCTCTCAGAGCTTCGAAAAATGTCCAGTAGAATCAGTACCTCCCTGTTGAAAGAGCCCCTCAAGCTCCTGCTGGCAAGATGCACAGATGGTTTAGTTTTGAAGGTTTTTGGCGCTGCGCGAAGTGTCTCCAAATCCGTCGTCCGCGGGATGGTCGAAAGCCCCTGCCGGGACGGTGCTCGGGACTAAAAGCGTGTAGCGTCGCCAGCCTTAATCAATTGGAGCACAGGTGTGTCATGTTTCCCTGCAGTGACGGGGCTGAGCTGGTTATTTGCATGAGGTGTAAATGCTACACTTCCCACGGCAGTCTGCGCGGGCTCCACGCCAAGTGCGAACCTCCTCCAGGTAAGTTTCATGTGTGGGCGTGGCAGCAGATATGTCAGGGCCGTCACCCGAAGAGAAGGGGGTGGTGGTCCAGGCGGATGTAAATTTTCGTGACGGCTCTGGTATTTTCGACGTTGACCTGCCGCAGTCTAGCGCCGCGGTGGCCCCTCCGCCTCCGAGGCCTTCTGGTGCCCACCCTTCGAACCCCCTCCGTTCGGTGGTCGATGCTTCGAGGCAGGAGGATAGGGCCCGCGCTTTGCAGGATAAGGTTCAACGTTTGTGCCGCGCGGCAGGTGCTGCGCAGTCAGTCCCAAGCTCACTTGAAGTCAATGCTTCGGACGACTCGGATTAGTGCCGTCCGGCCCAGTGTGCACGCACGCATTGTAGATGCGCGTGTTCAGCTGACCAGAGGATGTGTTGATCACTCTTTGGCGCGTTCGGTGGCCATCCCTGCTTGGTGAGAGCCCCAGCGTGCCGCAACCAAGTGTGGCCCTTTTTCTGGCGGAACTGGGCTTTCTTATTTTCTTGCTGCAGCCTGTAAGCGCCACGTGCAGGCTGTTTGCAAGCCCCCGAAGTGGGGAAAATCACGGTGGTTGGAAGCCCACGGGGAAAAAACAAAATACTCATCCCTGGTCCTGCTTCCTGGTGACCTGAAGGTTCTCTGAACGTTGCCCTCCCCCCTGGCCGGTCGCCAGTGGGGGGTTGATCAAACTAGTGCCACGTGATCCCTGGAGCACCGCTCCAGGGGTCACGCGCGGTTGGTAGAAGCAAAGCAGGTGCAGACAGACAAGAAGAAAGAAGAACGAAAGGGAACCTCGGCCCCCCTCCTCCTCCTCCTCCTCCTCCTCCTCCTCCTCCTCCTCCTCCTCATCCTCGCTCCTCCTCCTCCTCCTCCTCCCTCCTCCTCCTCCTCCGCCTCCTCCTCCTCCTTCCTCCTCCTCCTCCTCCTCCTTCCTCCTCCTCCTTCCTCCTCCTCCTCCTCCTCCCTTCTCCCTTCTCCCTCCTCCTTCCTACCTCCCTCCCCTCCTCCTCCGTCTCCTCCCTCCTCCCTCCCTCCTACCTCCCCCCTCCCTCCTGCCTCCCTCCTGACTTCGCCCCCCGCGCGCTCGCGGCGCGTGCCGCGCTCGCCTCGGGCGCCTTGCGCCGCATGAAATCGCGCTCGCGCTGGGCCGCCTTCAGCTCCTGCGGCACGCACCAGTCTGCGGCGAGCGAGGGGAGGACAGGATTCGAGCTAAACAGTGCTTTCCGTTTTCGCTTTGTGCTCGTTATCCCTTGTTCTGTTGTCGTTCTGCCTCTGCTGCGAAACGAAATCAAAACGAAAACGGTCCACAAAATCGCCAAAACGCCGTTTAGCTCGAACCCTGGGGGAGGAATGAGAAGGAGAAGGCCTTCTCAGAAGGCGGCGGGGCTTCTCAGAAGCCCTCGCGCCTTCCTGGGAAGTTTGCCGCGTCTTCGGGGAAGGCTCAGGACGCTTCTTAGAAGGGGGGCTTCCGAGCCTTCTGAGAAGGCCCGCCCCTTCTCAACAAGGGGGGCCGCTCGTAAGACTGCGCCCTCGATCGCGACTCGGCTCGCGCAAGAAGCTCTTACTCTGCAGGTTCCGGCAAGCTTCTCTGCACGGGTGGGGGAAGGGAGGGTTGACGGGGAGCCTGGGGGGAAGTGAGAGGGGGGCGGGTCTTCTCAGAAGGCTCGGAGGTCCCCTGCCCTTTCTGAGAAGTCCTCTATGCCCTCTCCGAAGACACAGAAAACTGATCAAAAGGCCAGGAGGGCTTCTGAGAAACCCCGCCGCCTTCTGAGAGGGCCTTCCCCTTCTCGCTTCCCCCCCCGTCGCTCGCCGCCGAGGGGGCGCAAGCCGAGGCCCGCAAGAGATAGTTATTGACTGCCCCGCCGTAATGTCATATGCGGGGGGGGGGGCGGTCGGGCCCCCAGGGGGTCACGAACGGGAACAGGGGCGGGCCCCGCGGGGGGGGCCCGGGCGCCGGACGACGACGACGACGACGACGACGACGACGAAGGCCGCCACGGACGGCGTCTGGAGGCCCTCCGATACCTGTCAGCAGAACACCATTCCTGTGAGCTCGGCGCCATACCTGTGGGGGGCCGGACCCCCCATCGTAAATTCGTTAACCCAGGCCGGCAATGAAGGACACCCCACTCTTCCTGTGAAACGATAACGCATCCAGCACCCGAAGGCGTTATCCTGGCACGCTGAGGAGGACAGGAGGAGGAGGAGGAGAGGAGGGGGAGGAGGAGGAGGAGGAGGAATAACATCAGGAGGGGGAGGGAAAGGAGGAAGAAGGAGGACGAGGAGATGTTCCCCGGTAAGCTGCAGACGGGAATTTAAACTACTCGAGCAATTTGCTAAGTACTACTAATAATAAGCACTACTCTTACTACGACAACGACTACGACTGCGACTACGACTAATACTAGTACTACTACTAGTACTACTACTACGACTACGACTACGACTACGACTACTACTATTACTACTACTACTACTACTACTACTACTACTACTACTACTACTGCGATTACTACTACCACCACTACTATTACTACTACTGATACTACTACTACTGATACTACTTCTACTACTACTACTACTACTACTACTATTACTACTACTACTGCTACTACTACTACTACTACTACTACAATTACAACAACAACTACTACTACTACTACTACTGCTACTACAACTACAAACACGTTTGCGACAACGACGATGACGACGACGACGACGACTACTACTACTACTCCTACTAGAACTAGTACGACTACTGCTACCTCTACTACAACCCTCGTCAAAAATAAACTGAGGGATTCTGTTTTCGGTGATTGCATGGTCAGCGCTACTCCAATGCTGACGCTAGATATCTGACGTGGACGCAAGGGCTTCAAAAATCCGACGCACCCTCCGCAGCACTGAAGAACGCAATTTTTAACAAGTGCCCGAGAAGGTCGATCGTCGTGATTTCCAACTGCGTTTCTGTTTATTTTTGACGAGGCTTGGCCGCTTTAAAAATCAGTCTTGACCCCAAACAATAGGTTATTGCATTATCTTGGCACCATCTGTGCGGCGCAATGCACATCGCGCTAAACTGCCACGCGCGGCGCCCAAGGAACTCGAGCGCGGCAGCCGCGGAAGACGCGCGGGGCCGGCGGCGGCGGCGCGGCCGACGGCGGGGGGGAGGCACCGATTTACTTGGTCCTATCAAGGAGATATACTTCTAGACCCCCCCGCGGCAACCTGGCAGCCGCCCCTGGACCCCCCCGCGGCAACCTGGGGGCCGTCCACTCGGCATGCGCTTTGATACAGCGCGGCGAACACCGCAGTCACTTCGACACATTATTTGTACAACAACTACCCACCCTTGCCCACCAGAGTGCATTTTTTGCAAAGGATTATGGCCGGGTAGTTGTTGGTACTAACCAACAACTACCCGGCCGCCGCCCACTCGGATTGCATTTTTATATAGCACGGCGGTCACCGACGTCACTTCGACATATTATTTGTACAACAACTACCCACCCATGTCCACCGGAGTGTATTTTTTGTCACGGATTATTGCCGGGTACTTGGGTAGTTGCATTTTTCTGAAAGAATAAGATGGCCCCCCTTTTCCTTTCTTTAAAAATTTGCAACTACCCAAGCACCCGGCAATAATCGTGACAAAAAATACACTCCGGTGGACATGGGTGGGTAGTTGTTGTACAAATAATATGTCGAAGTGACGTCGGTGACCGCCGTGCTATATAAAAATGCAATCCGAGTGGGCGGCGGCGGGTAGTTGTTGGTTAGTACCAACAACTACCCGGCCATAATCCTTTGCAAAAAATACACTCTGGTGGGCAAGGGTGGGTAGTTGTTGTACAAATAATACGTCGAAGTGACTGCGGTGTCCGCCGCGCTAAATCAAAGCGCGTGCCGAGTGGGCGGCGGCGGGGTAGTTGGACAAATACCCGCCATCATCCTTTGTAACAGCCCTCCTTTGGGCGGCGGCGGCGCGAAAGCTCCCAGCCGCTCAAATTTCCATAACAGTGGAACGTCTACCTGTGATTTTGCACCGCCCCTTCTCCCTAGCTGTGCCGGTTCCGACACAACGACCTAAACGCGTCTTCCGTGTTGTTGACCTGGCGATTTGCTACTGTCACGCTGCCGCGGACGCCGAGAATCGCGCGAAAGCTCCCAGGCGCAAGAATTTCCACAACATTGGAACGTCGACCCGTGATTTTGCACGAACACCTTCTCCCTAGCTGTGCCGTATCCGATTCAACGACCTAAATGGTCCTCCGCGCTGTCGACCTAGCGATTTGCTAACTGTTACGCTACCGCGGACGCCGAGAATCGCGCGAAAGCTCCCAGACGCACAAACTTCCATCACATTGAAACGTCTACCCGTGATCTTACACCAGGTGATTGTGGCGTCGATGGCTGAGGTGTCGATGGCGCAGACGACGATGCCGACGATTTATCTGTCTCGTCCCCCCGAATCTGTTCAATTCAGCGCCGCGCGACAAAGGGTGGGCGGCTGTCTGGGCGGCGGCAAGCTAGTCGCTAAACGCAAACTAATTCTGCAGCCGAGCGGACGGACACGCGCTGCGCACTAGCGAAAGAAAGCGGCTTAGAAACATATAAGCGAACAGCCGCTTTAAAAATCAGTCTTGACCCCAAACAATAGGTTATTGCATTATCTTGGCACCATCTGTGCGGCGCAATGCACATCGCGCTAAACTGCCACGCGCGGCGCCCAAGGAACTCGAGCGCGGCAGCCGCGGAAGACGCGCGGGGCCGGCGGCGGCGGCGCGGCCGACGGCGGGGGGGAGGCACCGATTTACTTGGTCCTATCAAGGAGATATACTTCTAGACCCCCCCGCGGCAACCTGGCAGCCGCCCCTGGACCCCCCCGCGGCAACCTGGGGGCCGTCCACTCGGCATGCGCTTTGATACACCGTAGTCACTTCGACATATTATTTGTACAACGACTACCCACCCTTGCCCACCAGAGTGCATTTTTTGCAAAGGATTATGGCCGGGTAGTTGTTGGTACTAACCAACAACTACCCGGCCGCCGCCCACTCGGATTGCATTTTTATATAGCACGGCGGTCACCGACGTCACTTCGACATATTATTTGTACAACAACTACCCACCCATGTCCACCGGAGTGTATTTTTTGTCACGGATTATTGCCGGGTACTTGGGTAGTTGCATTTTTCTAAAAGAATAAGATGGCCCCCCTTTCCGTTTCTTTTAAAAATTTGCAACTACCCAAGCACCCGGCAATCTTACGTGACAAAAAATACACTCCGGTGGACATGGGTGGGTAGTTGTTGTACAAATAATATGTCGAAGTGACGTCGGTGACCGCCGTGCTATATAAAAATGCAATCCGAGTGGGCGGCGGCGGGTAGTTGTTGGTTAGTACCAACAACTACCCGGCCATAATCCTTTGCAAAAAATACACTCTGGTGGGCAAGGGTGGGTAGTTGTTGTACAAATAATACGTCGAAGTGACTGCAGTGTCCGCCGCGCTAAATCAAAGCGCATGCCGAGTGGGCGGCGGCGGGGTAGTTGGACAAATACCCGCCATCATCCTTTGTAACAACCCTCCTTTGGGCGGCGGCGGCGCGAAAGCTCCCAGCCGCGCAAATTTCCATAACAGGAACGTCTACCTGTGATTTTGCACCGCCCCTTCTCCCTAGCTGTGCCGGTTCCGACACAACGACCTAAACGCGTCTTCCGTGTTGTTGACCTGGCGATTTGCTACTGTCACGCTGCCGCGGACGCCGAGAATCGCGCGAAAGCTCCCAGGCGCAAGAATTTCCACAACATTGGAACGTCGACCCGTGATTTTGCACGAACACCTTCTCCCTAGCTGTGCCGTATCCGATTCAACGACCTAAATGGTCCTCCGCGCTGTCGACCTAGCGATTTGCTAACTGTTACGCTACCGCGGACGCCGACGCCGAGAATCGCGCGAAAGCTCCCAGACGCACAAACTTCCATCACATTGAAACGTCTACCCGTGATCTTACACCAGGTGATTGTGGCGTCGATGGCTGAGGTGTCGATGGCGCAGACGACGATGCCGACGATTTATCTGTCTCGTCCCCCCGAATCTGTTCAATTCAGCGCCGCGCGACAAAGGGTGGGCGGCTGTCTGGGCGGCGGCAAGCTA